ACTTAGACTCCTCCAGGGGGCACCCCAGGGTGTTCCGTCCTGGTCAGAGGCCTGGGACCCTAAGACTGAAGTCCCTCTCCTTCCATGAGAGCAAGTGACAGCTGGGCCTGGTATTAAGGTAGGAGCCCACAGCGGGGGGTCAAATCTCAGAAAGCGTGGTTCCGTGGTTTCTCATGTGGGTGTCTAAAACCACTCTGGAGGCCAAGAAAACTGCCCCGACGGACTCTCAGAGCCCTCGAATGCCCCAATCGTGACCAGCCAGGCCACCGTGCTGCACAGGGCTTGCGGGAGGGCGGCGTCTCGGTGCCAGGACGCTCCTGCCGGCGCCCATCCTGGCCCCCCCTCGCCCCGCGTGTGCTAGGCCCTCTGCCTGCCTGCCCAGGGGATCACATTTCCGGGTCCTGCTCCTGTGCTGGTCTGGCAAGACCCTGACTCCCCCCACCCCGAGAGGCTGACCGGCAGTTTCCTGCCTGGGAGGGGCTGAGCTACCACCGGTCTCCTTTCGTCCACGCATTGGAGGGAGCTGAGCTGGCAGTGTCTACACTCGCGCCCCTGTCGCCCATCACAAACCTGCTGCTTCCTCCTCTCCCCACACCTCAAAATTCCTCTTCCTCTTCGCACTGTCAAAATCCCCACTTCCACTTTCATTTGAGAGGGATGCAGGTCTCCAGCTGCCCTCAGAGGTGACTAGCAGACATCTGGCCGTGCTCGCCCTGGGGACTGCACCCCATCAAGGGACCAAGGTGCCCACCAAGAAGGTGAGGGCAGGATCTAGTCTAAATCACACGCAACGCAGTAAACTGATGTTACCACAAGGAAAGAAAAAGAAGTCGGGTGCAGAAACAAGCTCCCACAGGGTACATGTGAAGATCTCTACCGTGCACTCGAGGTCCCCCAAAACGCCTCCCAGGGAGGCACTGACATAGGGCAGGCTGGCAGCTGGGCTCCTGCCCCTCCCCCAGGCCCAGGCCGCCCGCCCCGCCCCAGGGGCGCTCACCTTGACCACACCAACCAGCAGGCTCAAGCTGATGACAAAGAGCATGGTGATGAGCAGGAAGCTGGAGAGCAGGTCAGCTGAAAGGCAAGGGAGAGAGGGGGTGGAGGGCCCAGGCTGTTCCTCGGGTGCCCCACTGGGACTCCGAGGACCACACTTTGGGACGACAGTGTGGATAATGATGGCAAATGAAACAGCCCAGCCCCTGCCCTCCTGCTGTTCTCAGTCTTGAAAGCCTGCAAAGACAGCAGACACAGGGTTCCAGGTAACAGAGAAAGGTGTGATGGGAGGGAGAAGGTCAGTGGCAGGGCACTTTGGCCAGGGTGAGGTCCAGGAAGGCCTCTGAGGGCGCCTGCAGATGAGTGACCAGAAGTCCTGGCAGGGCCCCTGAGACAGGCTTAGTGTGGGCAAAGCCTCTGGGGTGGTGAGCAAGCGGGGCCATGGGCAGCAGGGGCGTGGGCCACGGGGATGTGGTGGGAGAGGTCAGTGGGGGCAGTGTCCCATGGTGAGGAGCACGATTAACCTAGGCTGATGGCAGCCATGATGGTGTGAGCAGGGGAGACCGGCTGTCACCCAGCTACACTGTTTGGGCTGACAAAGCACCGTCCTCTGCTCCCACACCTGGTGGGTGCCTCAGGTAAGGACAGGTGGGATCTCCTTGTGTATAGCTGAAAGATCTGAGGCTCAAAGAAGGAAAGTCCAAGGCCTCAAACCCAACCATGTTCCCACCAGCACCCTCTCCCGCCCCCCAACCCCACTTTGGCACCCCCAGACCTACCAATCCTGAGATAGCCCGTCTTGGAGAACCTGCAGGAGGCCTTGCCATGGGCCACCTCCACTGAGTGCTCGACGAGCAGCAGCACACTCATGATCTGGGGGCAGAGCAGAGGGTCAGTCAGTGGGGCTGCCCAGCCCGACACCTGCCCTCCCTCCTGCCACCGGGGCCCGGATGTAAGTTGGCCTGATTGATGGACAGCCCAAGCTCTTAGTCCTCCTTCCTCTGCCCAACTGCATGTGCTTGAGCAAGTTGTGAGCTCTCTGTGCCTCCTTTTCTCTGGCTGTTCACGAGGACAATGCTGACCATTCCTAGAAGGCCATGATGAGGAGTGAAGGAGAACAGCCCAGGAGAGCACTGGGTACCACACCAGGGTCTCCTAAAATCCTGATGTTGAAAGCCAGGCCTGAGGAGGGGAGGAGGAGCTCAGGGCTCTCGCTGGTGATGGCGCCCCTCCCCTGCACCACCTTTTATGATGACAGGATCTAGGCAATTCAGTCACAGCATCTGAGTATCCTAGGGATTCAAGTTCAACACAGGCCCAGAGATTGCTGCCCCATGAATCCTCAGGGTGCCCTTTCAGCCCTGTACCCCATGGACCCTCCATTTGCTCATCTGAAAAATGGAATAACAATACTATTTGCCTCAGAGGGTTGGTCACCTAAAGTATGGTTTGTTTAAAGCACCCAACAATGGTCAGCGCTCAAGCTATACTCACTGTCATTGCATTGCTCATCCCCACTGGACCAGGCATAGAGGCTTAGCTCTCTTAGTCACTGTTCTAGTGCTGAATGGATAAATGGATGATGGATGGATGGATGATGGATGGATGGATGGATGGATGATAGTGATGGATGGGTGGATGGATGGGATGGAGGGGTGGATGATGGGTGAATGGATGGATGATGGATGGGTGGATGGATGGATAGGATGGGTGGATGGATGGATGGATGGAGGGATAGATGGATGATGGATGGATGGATGGATGATGGATGGGTGGATGGATGGATGGGATGGGTGGATGGATGGGATGGATGGATAGATGGATGGATAATGGATGGATGGGATGGATGGATGGGTGGATGATGATGGATGGGATGGATAGATGATGGGTGGATGGGATGTATGATGGATGGATGGATAATGAATGATGGATGGGTGGATGGATAATGGATGATGGATGGATGGATGATAAATGGATGGGATGGATGGATGGATGGATGGATGGATGGATGGATGGATGGATGGATGGATGGATGGACAGATGGACAATGAATGAATGAACCCCATCTCCCAGGAGAAAGCTTACTAAAAATGATAGAGAAGGGACAAATCTGATGGGCCTGAATGTCGGGGTGGTACTAAAAGCAGTTGAACTGCATAAAACTCTACTTTGAAAGGGCCGTACAAGTCACTTAGCCCCAGCCCTCACCATCCAACTAAGAACCCCACGCCGAGCAGCCTCCTCATGAAAGCCTCGTCACAGGGACTCGCAGTCCTCTGAGAGCCGCACCCCTGCAGCGGGACTCCTGCCCTTTCCCCAGTCACACATGCACCAGCTCCAGGAGCCCTCGCCCACGCTGAGAGCAGGGCAACTCCTGCCCTCTCGCTGCGGAGGTCCTGCCTCTGTTAAGATGGCCTAAGTTTACATTGGTTCTCTAGGTGGCCCCGCACAGGTAACTTGCGCTCAGCTGACAGGCGAGCTGACATCCACCATCTGTTTCTCCCTGCTGACTGTGTGGGTCTCAATCTGTCTTCCTGCCATGTTACATCCTTCAGAGCGGAAGAAATGGGTAGCACGTAAGGCTGGTGAAGAGCTGGGCTCCAGAATCAGAGATGTGTGACCTTGGACCAGTTATTTCAACTCTCAGCTTTCTCATCTAGGAAAATGGCAATCACTGGACTTAGTAAGGAACAGATTGTCTTGTATCTGCAAAGACTTGAGGTCTGGCAATGAGCCAGCAAACATGATTTGCTTTGGGCTAGAATGAGTTTACATGGGGTATTTGAGCTGTACCAGGAAGAGGGTTCTGGGGGTGCTGACAGGGAGCTTGCTTGCACTCTCCCCCTCTACCAGGTGCAAGGTGAACCAAGAAGGTTTTGTCTCACCAAAGTGGTTGAGAACCGCCCAGAACAACAGGCAGATGCTGTGGGGACTGTCGTGACACCCACAGGAAACAGCCCTGCAGAGAAAAGCTGCTTCCTTGGCCCCTAAAGGCTGGACACCCATCTGCTCCCTCTCAGTTCCACCTTAAGAAGGGGAAGAGAAAGGGAGGCTGATGACAGTTGGGACTGGGACACAACAGGGCACCCGGAAGCGGTGAGTGCCCCAACAGGGAGTTGTGCAAACAGCACAGAGGAGTATCTACCAGAAAGACTTTAGGAACCCACGAATCCAAAATGGTCTGAGATCCCAACTTGAGTTAATGGGGAAAACCTCTGTCCACACATTTTATAAACTCCCTCTGCTTGGTTTATAAAGTCAGAGAAGCTAAGCAACTTGACCAGTGATACACAGCAAGTTCAGGGCAGAGCAGAGACTGGAGTGCCACTTGGTGTCACCCCCAAAATACTTCAGGGCCCCTGCTAGCCCTGGCCGAGGGCTCAGGTAGTCTAACCTCACACCTTTGTCAGCAAAACCTTTTGAACACACTGCTCTGGGTTTCCTTAGTGCTTAACACTATGCATCTGCTACTGTCCTGGTTTATCACAAACATCATAAAACACACATGCAAGTCCAGAGATTAATAAAAATATGATTGAAAATGTCATCCTAAGGCCCCAGTAGTCACCTTGGACATCACCCCACTTTGAAGACGCCCCCAACTCCTCTTAGGGCCCAAGACCACACCAATCCTGTCCCAATCACCACTTCCTTACCGGCCTTCTAGAATGGCTGGTGGCCAGGAGAGGGGAGGGGCGTCTGGACACTCTAAGTAACCCCACACCAGGGCATCACCCACACCTCTCAATGAGCCTCCCACAGTCCATGAAGGGCTGTGCTTAAGTAGCACCCCAATCTCACAGAAGACGAAATCAAGACCCAGAGAGGTCCAGTGACATGTCCACAGCCTCCCAGCTGACAACCCACAGGCTGGGTTTGCAAACCTAGGGCAGTGGGCCCTACATCGGATAATCTTGTCCCCTCAGCTGTCTTCCCAGTACCTCCCAGCTGCATGGCTCAGCGTGAGGCCTGCCCCCGACCCACTCCCATGTCAGCCAGGGGGTCTCAGAGAGGGGTACCCTTCACCTCCCCCGCCCCCCAGCTCCTGCAAGCAGCAACAGGGCCGAAGCACTTCTACTTCTAGAACAAGCTGTGTTCAAAACCAGGCTCACCTTTCACCCCATTTCAACGTCTCAACAACCCTGTAGGAAAGGAGCAGATGCTGCCTATTGGCCACGCGCCAGCCCCCGAAGCTCACAGAACCAGCACGGGGTCAAGGCAAGCTGGGATCCCAGTCCAGAAGGCAAATGGAGACCGGATGGAGAGGAACCGACCGGCAGTTACGAGCAGCTCCGTGCCACTGACCTGCCACCTCCCACCCTGCAGGAGACACAGCATTTCCCGCATTCCGAGGTGAGGGCTGCACGGAGGACGTCACGTGGCTCGGCTTGAGTCCTGCTGCCCTTGTGTCCAGGACACAGGCTCCACTCAAGAAAGATGTTCCCGGCCTCTACCTACCCTCGCCAGCCCTGAGCACTCAGAGTTCAAGAGCCAACAGCTGGGACGTGGCAGCCTCCCCCCCACCTCCTCACCACTGTGTGAACCTGGCAGGCTGTGGCTCCTCCCTGATCTCAGTTTCCCCGCTCCAGTCAGTGAATAAGCCATGCCCATGTGCACCGAGAGCCACTGCAATGACTGACCTCTACAAAAGGTGGCATGTCACAGCCAGGGTGCCTGGTCTTCCCCACCTCACTTCGGTGTCCTGCTCATCAGAGACCTTCAAGCCCTCCCCACACACACCCAAGTCCCCAGCCAAGAGCTGCTTACAGCTCCTGGCAAGAACTCCAATCACCTACAGCATATTCTAGAAGAGACCAGAATTCCTAGGCCTCCCGGCCCTCGCCTTGTCTTCCTGCCCCCTGGTTTCCACCTGGACAAAGCCCTCTCCCCTGCAACCCCCCAGCTCCAAGGACCTGACTGCACTGAGACAAAGGCAAGACATCCCTGCCCCCCAGGGCCCAGGCACCCAGCCCTCCCTCCAGCACTGCATCTTCTCCTTCACTCTCCCGTGATTCTACAAGGCTGAGATGCTGCGGGTAGGAGCTGGGTGCTGGAGTCAGATGCCCTGGGCCCAACCGGAGCCCCGGAGCAAGCCACTACCATGTCTCTGGGAAATGGGGTGACAACCGAGCTACCTTGCGAGGGTGCTATGAAGCAGGTGGCACGCAGGCAGAGCCGGGCACACAGCCCGCGTGGCATACACTACGACAGCCAGGCAGTGCCCACGACCCTGTCACTTGCCAGTGCAAGCTCCCTTGCTCATCCACCCAGTAACTGCTCTCCGAGCACCTAGCACCTCCAGACCCACTGGGAACAAGCCGTGAGCACCAGTGCTTGGAAGACTCCAAGAGGGGCTCACCACTCCGGAGAACTCGAGCCTCCCTTTGAAGGATGAGCAGGAGTGGTTCAACCGTCAAGAGAAACGTATTCTGGGAAGAGGGATGTCACGTGCAAAGGCCCAGAGCCTGGCTGCACGGGCCCAGGCAGATGCAGGGGACAAGGATGCCGAGTCCCGGAGAGAAGTGATGTCACCAGCAGGACCTAGGCCCGGACAGAGGCGGGACCGGCCCAAGGCCGCACGGCAGCCTGTCACGAGCCCAGCTAACCCCAGCTCTCCTATGGCAAGTCAGGGCTGGGGCTGGCTGGCAAAGGGCCCCCATTCCCCAAAGCCTCCGCTCGCCGACCCCGGCCCCCCTCAACCCTACACCCTACATCTCCCCCACCCCACCGCCCCGCCCCACCCCGGCACCTGTGCCCGCTGCTTCTCCCTGGTTTCGGTTCCCATCCCCGTCACTGTCCTTTCCCTTCTTTCTCAATGCCAAGCGCAGCTTCCCTCGGCTGAGCAGTGGGGCAGTGGGGGAAGGTAGCCAGGC